GTATAAGGATTCAAGTACCAACCACATAACAAGTTATGCGCTTAGCACTTGGGGGCTAATGCATATTCGATCTTCATCTTTCAATTGTTTACAAAGTCCCAAGATCAATATAAGTATTCAGCTTGGCACTTGGGGGCTAATGGCTATTTGATCATATATATTCTAATGCGGCAGTTTCAATTACTTAAAGTACCGGTTTAACTACGCTAAGTTGAACCGGCCCTTGGGGGCTACATCAGCGAATTTCAAAGCATCAATATTTATATTATTAAGTCCCAGTTTGAAACAATATTTCAAACCGGCCCTTGGGGACTAGGAGAGTCAGCAAGAATGGAATCATACAAGCAGGAAGGAGCATATGGAAGTTACCTCATATTTATCTTTCATCATATTAACCAGACCGGCTTCATAGTCACGACTGGTATACAGCCGGTTCAGATAGCCGGAATGGATATCTTGGGCGTTCAGAGCAGCGTAAGTCGTCAGATCAGCGTTCCACTTGCCTTTGCCAAGGCAGCAAATTCTTCCTTGGCAGAATGTTTGGATAAAGCGACAGGATTGCTTGGCTCAGTATGGCCAGTGCCAGTAATGACAACCTCATCATCCTTGGTACCGCTGGTTTGCATTGGAGCTGTTGGCTTGTTAGTAGGTTTTGTTGGACCGGTGAAGCTTTCAATCCGGATGGAACCTGTGGGCTGATGGATAGGACCTGAGGTATCAGTAGGTCTCTCTTCAGCAATAAGATCATCATCTTGCTGCGGTGGATCGTTGGGAATATCCTCAGGAATAGCCGCTTCAGCATTGGGTGTCTTGCCTGCTTCAAGAACGACATCTTCTTCGGCCGTTTTGTCCAGGCGGGCCTTCTTGCTTGGCCTAGGTTTGGCTCTGAGAAGAATAATAAATCAAATATAGCATATGTTCTAAGGCGATGTACTGCAAACATCACAATAAGTATAGCTTACGCAAGCACCGTTTTAAGCGGTGGGAGCTAAGTAGCCGATGACTCGCCAGAAGATGAGTGGGAAGTAACCTGGTAATCGGAGTCAGACAGATTAAGAGGTTGATGAAAGCAGCCCGCTTTAGGACAAGCACTGACAAGCAAATTAGAGACCTCTGAATGGCGTTTCCGAACCGGACTATTCGGTAAACCGGCGGAGGTAACTACCTGGCCGCTGTGCCGGGTTGTGCGACGAGCTTCGTGTTGTTGGGTCTTCATAAGAAATTTAGGATCCAAATAAGCAAGAGGATGAGAAAATTTAACTTTCCGGTTTGCCTGGAGGATTTTTTGTGAAGGCAAAGTTTCTGAATCGGAAGAGAGAATAATTACCTCTGCAACATCCGCATGGCTGGCTTCGGCATCATCCTGACAAATATCATCATCAATAAGACGCATGAAAAATAAACCAAGTGAGTCAAGCTCTACCTCAAAGTCCGGATTATCCACATCATCATCAGGGGCCGGATTAGAAGATGCAGTGGTTCTTTTTCCGTGGGCAGTCTTCTTCACAGCTTTAGTCTTTTGCCGGGTTGCTCTTTTCGGTTTGTCTGGTTTTTCTGGTTTCTCCTGCGGCAGTTTTTTGCTCCAAAATGGATCATTGCCCTGATTATGCAGACACTGATATTAAACAATGACCAGACATATCAATAACAGATTCAGCAAAGAGAAAAATCAAAATCTTACAGCTGGCGGTTTGTTGGTGGCATAGAAGGGAAGCAGGCCGGTTCTAGCGCAGACGTGTTCCGGTTCATTCAGCATCTTATTTACAGCCTCTGTGATTTCTTCATCGGAGAGCTGGATTTTTGAATGTCGCAGTGGGTCATCAAGATTGTCAGTATACTCGCACATCAAACCGGAGCGCTGACTAAGGGGCAGTATGCTCCATGATATCCAACAGCGAGCGAGATCAACCCCTGTTAAACCGTTGGCCATAAAGGCTCTGAGCTTTGACAGTTGGATAGCATATTTGCTTCTCTCCTGGGCAGTCAATCTTTAAGGAAAAGGGTGTGTATTGCCTAGCCGCTCCGGACGAAAGCCAGGCAAGGGATTCTCACCAGCAGGGGAGGTGTCTTTGCAGTAGAACCATGTCTGATTCCACTCCTTGGGGATGACTGTGCAGCTTGGCGTGAGGGTATGTGACCTCTTTCCTTTTCTGAATCGCCACGCCACCCAACTCTGTATTAGAGCCATCATTAAACTCAGTACAACGGTTTAGATGGAAAAGGTCTCTGAACAATTCCACTGTGGGCTCCTCTTGAAAGAACACCTCACAGAGTACTTGGAAGTGACACATATTTGTAACAGAGTTGGGGCCAGTGTCTTGCGGATGGAGTTGGAAATCGGCTAAAACATCCCGGTAAAATTTAGAACCGGGCGGCTTAAAGCCCCGGGCTAAGTGATCTACGAAAACAACAACCTCTCCTTCTCGAGGTGTGGGAGGGCATTCTTTGCCAGGAGCCCTCCAATGGATGGTATCTTTGCTGCCTAAAGCGCCAATCAGGACTAAATCGTCCAGTTGATCCTCTGTAACACGAGAAGGAACCCAATTGCACTCATATACTTGCTTGGCCATGATGGAATCTGTAAGGTAGAAGGTCCCGGTTCAAAAATGCATTTGATCAAGGTACGTTGGTATGTGCACTGTTAAACCTGAGACAGAACTATCTGAACCGGAGTTTCATGAAGCAACCAACATCTAGCGGTTCAACAAGGGGACTAATGGCATATACCGGTTTGGAAAATTTTTTATAAGGTTAAACCGCCTGATCTAAGCATTGAAAAGTTGAGATTGCGGATGGACAAGTACGCAGAAACAGGTTTCACAAGATTTCTTTACAGCATTGGATCTGAAGCAAGTTCAGAAAAGAGATAAATGCTTAGAGGTTCAAAGGAGCAGTACCGAACCAATGAGCAAAACGTTCATATAGATCTATGGTTTGAGATGCATAAGTGAAGGCGAAGGTCAAACAACTATCGTTGCACGGAGTAAAGACTTGCAAATTCATCTAAAGATCTATCGTATGAGCAAGATGCAGACGATGAACACTGAAGAACTGCGAAACCCTAGGCCAGATCTGCGGGGGAAAGGATAGAAGATTTACTGGAGCTGAGGAAGATGCGGAAGGTTGCCGCGATGTTCTGGTGCGCTCAGGTTGATGCAGCGGCCAAGGATGAGGCAGAGGTCGACGGCGGCGGCGGAGCTCCGAGGCTGGCGACGCGAGGAAGACGAAGAAGGCACGGAAGGAGAAAAGAAATGACCCTTCGGTCCTATTTATAAGGCGAAAGAACATGTGTCAGGCGCCACAATCAAGGGGCCACAAAACGGAGCTGTCGCCTCGATTTCCGCCGATCTATTAAACAAAGAAGCATAATGGATAGCTTCGTTATGACAGGTGACATCACTCCGGTTTACAGCAATCAGAGAAGATGACATCATGGCGGTTTACCAAATTATAAAAGGATGTTGAAGATGAAGCTTTTATCAAAAGGATTGACATGAACCCGTTCAAATCAATCTGGGGCCTAATGTTGGGGATATTACTACTGGGCGTAAACCGGCCTATCTGGGCCGGGTTAACTTCGTCAGTAGTTAAGTATGTTAAAGCCCAAGAAGACAGAGGAGGGCTCAAGGCCCATGGTCGGTTCAAGGCCTGTAGCCGTAAACCGGCGTTAGTAATTAACATGTATTGTAAGTTAGGAATAAGTAGAGACCAAACCGGACACATCTATGAGCCGGTATTGGGACTCCGTAAGTCGACGGGAGTCACCCGTGTATATAAGGGGACGACCCGGCGGCGGTTCAGGAACAGACAACAACTCGAGACATAGGCGAAGCTTGTTGGCTCCCTAGTCATCGAAACCCCATCAATTCCATAACAACTAGACATAGGCTTTTACCTTCATTGAAGGGGCCGAACTAGTATAAACTCTCTTGCGTCCTTGTGTCCGCTTTAACCCCTTCAAGCTAACCGTCGCAATGGCTCCACGACTAAGTCCTTTCTTTAGGACATCTGCCGTGACAAAACCACGACATAGCCTGTGCTAATTGATTTATTAGATACTTTTTTTTGCGAATAAATACTGTTTATACAGAGCTCTTATTGGGGCTATCAATTTTTTAATACAGCGATATGCTGACTGTTGAAATGGAGGAATAAGTCGAGAGACTTTATACATATCAAAGCAAGTGATCATAGGCACTTAAATAATCTGCTAGTCTTGCCGATGAACTCGCTTCTAGATTGTGATCCAAAATTAGGTTAATCTTAATTGAATATATTAGTAAAGAAAGAGATTTATAAGAGAAAAACTATATTTTCGTTGGTTGACATTTAACATATTTTCTTGTATTTTTACTATGTTTATGTTAAGGCCCTTGAGATTGGGATCTAGTATTCTAGTTTCGTCTCGGACCCCCGAAATCTTAGGACCGTCCCTGTGCGCCGTGATTGCCTCCGGCCTCTGCATCGAGACGGTAGGCGCCGTCGTGGTCGTCGGCGGCCTCGCGACCACCCTGGTGTTATCCACTCTCTCTGCTCTCACTCGCTTGGAGGCCAACTAATGAAAATGAGAAGCGGTGTGAAGTGGCACGGAAAGGGAATACGATACATGCGGCGCTCGCGACGGGGCGTTGCTTGTCCAAACGAGAAAGAGTGTGATGTGGCTGATCCCCTGCTCTAAGATTCGTGCTAATGATCCAAGGGTGGAAAAGACGTTCAGACTGGGGTCATGGAAACCTGACATTCGGGGGTTATAGATTCCCAAGAATAATGGTTGGATACAGCGCCGCCGACGGCTCAGCGGCTCGGCTGCCGGCAGCAAACGAAGGGGGATAGAATTAGCAACCTCACGCCAAATTCCGTGAGCCGTAATTAGCAGCCTCTCGCTTAATTCCGTGAACAATTTGGCTCACTCCCTGACAAGTGACAACCTAGCTGCTCTGAACTCCGCTCGAAACCCTAGCCGCCCCCATCATCCCCTTCCTCCCACCCCGCCGCCCGCCATGCCCTCGCCGGCGCCGCACCTCGTCGACGAAATCCTGGAGGAGGTCTTCCTCCGCCTGACCACCCCGGCCGAGCTCGCCCGCGCCTCAACCGCCTGCCCCCGTTTCCGCCGCATCATCACCGACCGCTCCTTCCTCCGCCGCCACCGCAAACGCCACCCACCTCCGCTCCTCGGGCTCGTGAACGTGGATGGCAGCTTCCAACCAGCCGAGGCGCCCCACCCCTCCGCCCCGCTCGCCCGCGCTCTCGCCGACGCCGCTGATTTCACCTACTCCTTCGTCCCCGCGCCCAGCAATGGCATCCCCTGGCATGTCCGCGACGTCCGCGATGGCCGAGTCCTCCTGGAGGCCTGCCAGGTTTTGGAGACCCTCAAAGACATGGCGCTGTGTGATCCCTTGTCACGGCGCTACGTGCTGCTTCCGCCCATACCGACGGACCTCGCTGTCCAGGAAGAGTACCCATTTGATATCGTGCCCATCCTTGCTCCCATTGCGGATGATGAAGATGATATGTCGTTCAAGGTGATATGCTTAGCCATCTATGGTTCCAAGCTAACCGCCTTTGTCTTCTCGTCTGTCACACAGCAATGGTGTATAACTGCATCTATCGGTTGGAGTTTGTTAGACGCGCATCACCCTCCCCTTGGACTGTGCATGTTTTCCACTTATGGGTTCTGTGGCTTGCCCGGTTTCGACAACGAGGGCGGATGCTTCTACTTGGCGTCACCTTTGTTAGACAAGTTGTTCGTGCTGGACACACAAAAAATGGAGTTTCTCACTGTCAAATATCACACTGGCTATGATATACTGGTCAGACACCTGCCTGGCCGGATAATCGAATTTCTCGCCAGATACGGTGATCCCCATATAATTCAACCTGGCCAGGACAGAAGTATGCGTGGCATTGTAGTAGGTAGAGAAGGAGACCTCGAGATGTTTTCTCTCATCGGTGATCACAGCCCAAATGGCTCATTTGATCTCTATCATACGACTCAGCAAAGCAATGGTGAATCTTCCAATGAATGGCGGATGAAGAATATTATACCGTTGCCTGGAGGGCATGACTATTTCACCATGAGTGCGGCTGAGGGATTATTGTTCCTTGGAGCCACTACAGAAGATCAAGTGGGCTTTGATAGAGAGTCTGGGCCGCCATTGTCCAGGATTGATTGGGATGTAGATTATTTTTCGCTTGAGGTCAAGACTTCTGAAGTGAGGAAGGTTTGCACGAGCAAGGGGAAATTCTTCCATGCTGAACATGTTCACTGGTACTTTGGCTACCCCCCGTCGCTGTCAAAACCGAGTGTATGAAGTGGTAAGTTAATTTGTTTTATGATCGTTGTGCTCTGCTGGCCTAATTGTTCATGTAGATGTGATTGCTTTATGCTGTTATACAAGACATTGTCAAAGTAGGGTAAGTTGGCATGATCTGTTTCCTGGTCAATAATTGCCTTGCAACATGGTAATAAAGTTAACAATTTCATTTCATACCAAGAAGGGTGTATATACCCCACCAAGTTTGCATAACATTTGCTTCAGTTAATGTCTGAGGGCCATTTACATCTAAGGAAAGGCGTTAATTTATCCTTTGCGTATTAGTTTCTGCTACATTTTGTTAACTGGAACCGGCTAAATGATCATTTGTCCCTCTTATAGACATACTACCTCTATTATTTGCCCCTCTTTAGATAACATTTGACCATTAATTTACTCTTGTTTAAATTTTTGTGCGTACCATTTTCGCCTTTCTAGTTAGTAGGCACCAACCCATGCAAATATGACATCAGTTACCTGCAAAAGAAGTATGACATAGGTTACCTGTAAAAGAAGTATGAAATAGAATTATAGGGAAGGAATAGGAGTACACTCTTGCAAGATTTTAAAACTGCATGTATGTTTCCAGTTGTGGTGAAGCCTGGTACTATATTTTCAGTAACTTTATACAGCTTTGTGAAGCTACTGTTTGGTATTTGTTTGTGAAAGTATAAATGTTCTGATATATGTTAGGTTAATTAAAATTGAGGCATATCCTGCTTCATATTTCGTTAATAAACTTCTGGAAGCCATTCATATTAAGGTTTTCGGCGCAGTTTTGCCTAGAAACCGTGCAGCTTTATTCTCTTTTCATAAATTGCAGGAACACCCTACCCATTTGGAACAAAAAGCTGCCCATATGTCTTCTATTTTTCTTTTCTTCTTTGAATATGATTTGGCACATGCTCCGGATGATTGGACAGATTATAGTTAGACTCCATTGACATGGTTCTCTTTGTAGCACATGAATAAGAGTCCACATGATACCTAAGACGACACATACGTAATCAAAGATTCACATCGTGAGATTTCGGGCATCCATTTCTTGAAGCTACGTGTTATTTTTATCTATCTCTAAGGAAAAGGGCTAGCTGTAGGGCATAAGTGAGCCTTCAACCTATAAACTCCCTAGGACTTTTAAAAGCTATCATTTAAATATATCAAAATAGTCTTCAAACACAATTTGGAACACTGATGGGTGATTAGATATATTTAAGTACCCTGTCAAATTTGATATTATCAAAATACTGTTTACAACGAATACACAGACATTATTCCCAAGTAGTAATATAAATATTTTATATAAAATATTATTATTCAAAGTGTAGAAGGTATAACCTCACTAAGTTTCCAAAATCTGGGGGAGTAATCAAATAATATTATTGCTCTTAACATGATATGAATTTGCTTTATTGGGTACGTACATGAACGTACATCAATTTGAAGAGCGTTTGCTTATTGAATTGTTTTCAAACTTTTCCTTCTACTGCACTAGCACGGAAGCTGAATTATCCGTTTGCATCCAATTAGTTGTGCTATTTCAGATTTATTAGTAAAGCAGTAAATTTTGGTCAATTCGAGCAGCTCTAGTGTCTAGTCAATCCAACGGGCGAAAAAACTCAAAGCACATGCATCTATCTTTATCATGAATGCATTGTGGCATTCGATGGTTTCCACTAAAGAAGGAAAAAAAGCTGATTAATTAGGCAATTTTAAACGTACACATGGACCTTATTGCTTCATTAGTATGGGAGAATCCCACCCCACCTTGTATTTTCCAATCAGCTTGAACGCCTTTGGCAGGTTTGCTACAATGCTACTGAGATGTAGGTGACTTGAACTATTGTTCTGATTGATCTGATATGGCCGCCACGATCTGTACGACGTCCCAAACGTGGAGTTATGGTGGATTCATTACGATCTGGACCATACAGATAAACCCAATGGGTTATATCTGTTTTATTTAGAGTCAACATGGTGGCTCAGAAGGAACCCCCAATTAGTAAATATATAAGACAAGATGCAAAGATATGGTTTTGTTCCAATTCCACAATTCAAAGCCTTCTTTTCCTTCTCTTTTTACCTTTGCTCCCATATTCATGTTTGGCTTGGACCATACTGATACTAGCATCGGTGGTGGCGTGGCAGTGCGAGCCCCACCGAGTAGTTTGCTAGGCTGCAAGGTCTCGACGTGACCTGTGGAGAGCTATCGACGAGCTTGCAACACTCCTAGGTGCAACAATGCCCAGCCCCACAACAAGTGCAGTGCTGCAACAATGGCCGCCGCACTCGTTGTATGTGGTTCAGTGTCGATGTTTCTACAGCTGCTGATGCTTCAAATTCCAATACTGATTCCACAGTTATGCGCAGGTAGATGGGCATTATCATTAGTTGCGGATCAGTGCTTGCGCATGGTTCAATTATTTCCTTCTTTTTTTATCAATCAGGTTCTTGTTCAGAAAGAGCACAGCTTGGCATGGACAGCTGTGACTTGACAGTTGACAGGAGCAGAATGTAAGAACAAAAACAATCTCAGGAAAGGGAAAATAAATGGAAGTGACCACAAAAGGGTAGATCATCAATCCAAAAATCTCGGGTATACCATCAATTAGAATCTAGGTTATGCGCGATAAATAATGTGGGTATGTTCATAAGAGGCTCAAATAATCAAATATCCTACATGGAATAGAGGGACTCCTTAATTAGAACCTTGAATGAGGAGCTTACGTGCCTTTAGTTTTGAGCTGTGAATCTGTGATTTACTTGTCGATTTTGTACGGAGCGCTTTATTGTGAAACCCTTGGAAGAAGAGTTTTTTGTTGCATCCACATGATTCTAGTTTGTTCTAACTAGTAAGTATATCTGCAGGACTGATGAACTTGCTTTGCTTCTGTTGTCTTTTTTTGGGCCATGCATCTGGAGCCTTTGAAGAGAAATGGAGGATGGGCAAAAAGATGGTGCCGCGCAAATAGTACTTGAGCATGGTATTATTTACAGGGAATCATTGGTACTTGAGCATTGGTATTAGTATTTTAGTCGACGTATACTTTGCTACATATGTTGATGTTAAGCGTGTCAAAGCAAGACATGATGGGAGCAAGGTGAATTTTGGCGAATGTTTGTATGTAAGATGCTTGTTGTTGTGTGTGTTTGGAAAATGGTCGTATACTTTTGTCGAAACTCTCAGTGGTTGCAGCACATTATCCTCTCTGCTCAACATGTTCATGGATCTGATGATTCATTGCTGCTTTCATTGCTCGTGCTGGCTTTGAGCATTCACAATTTTGTGTTTTGTTGGTTGCCTTTTGAAAGCCGCGTTTTGAGGCAATCAGCTACAACAAAATGGGCAAGCTTCATGCTTGGCGCCGACATTCCTTTATCCAACATCTTTACAAGAGATATGTATCTTTTGAATGGCATGTTAGATTAGATACATAGGTTTCAGTCAACAAGTGACCAGGAACTCAACAATCATGATACTTGTCTAGCTGTGCTGGGAGCTCCTTGTTGTCCTCCTACTCTTTGGCAAAGTTATAATACCTGATAGCGTTCATCTTCAAGCGAGGAGATAGGTTCTTTACTATGGGTATTTGCTAGAGTATTTGGACTTTGGGAAACTCACAAAGTCATATTTGCTGTTCTTTTCTCCCTTTGTCTGATGTGTACATGTTGCCACAAACTTGCCACTGGGAGCACATTCTTTCTTTCCTCCCTCACCGATCAAGATCCTATGTTACTGCAAAACATGGAAGTCGGCAGGAGACCAACCCAAAACATGCATGAGATCTACAAGGTAGGCTGACTTGGTTTGGCATATTTCCTATCTTAGCATAAATACGAAGAAACATGAGATAGAAATGCTAGGCTGACTGGTTTGTTTTCGCAAATAACAATAATACTAATACTATTCTATAACATGTCATACCAGCATAGATGGAGATCTTTCATTCCTTTAAAGGGGGAATTGAAGTTCGGAACTTGCCGAGTAGCCGGTGAGTGAGTCAGTGCCACAAGAACATCCACGATACTCATTGTTATGCTTTTTAACCAAGCTACCATATAGACTATAGACTTAAATGGTCACCAAATTTTAATTTAAAACTACATATATTTTCTTTTCATTGATCTTTCTTTACTACTCCCTCCGTCCCACAAAACGTCTTATATTGTAGGACGGAGGGAGTATTTATTTGCCTGTGTTGAGGTTCCAAAAAGTAAGACTTTGCATAGCTGAAGCACTACAACCTTTAGAGGTAAAGTATCATCGTTGTCAAGAATATTATAGATTGAATTGCATATGAGGCTGGTAAAAACATCTCTTGCAACATGCAAGCCATAATGGCTCTCTGCCTAGCACCGCCGCTCCTCC